GTTAAACATTAAAACACGTGCTATATATTTGGCAAAACATTTTCTGAACTTCACATAACTAACAAATTTGTAAATATTAGACGAAATATTGATAAAGTATGTAATTAAAGGAAAAATATGACATTTTCTATGGAGCAACAGATTACAGGATATTCTGCTAAGTATTTAGATATTCCTGATAAAAGACAAATAAGAACCTGCAATGTTATTGGTCCTGAATTTTTCATGGTAATTGTTCAGATGAACTTTCCTTTGTTGTACCTAGATTTCATGAATTAAGCACAGTAGTAAATGGACAAGTTCTAATCATTTTATGGTTGAAATTGCTGGATGTAATTAAGTTCTACGCTAATGGTTTCTTCTTTTGCATTACTTGTTTGTGGAACACATATCCAGTTTCTTGCTTTCCAGTCAACTTTGATCTTCAAAAATTTAAATGCAATGTCAATTGTTATCTTCTGTCTTCTTAATTCCTGTTCTTTTATTGTTCTCTCTCAATGATTTTTTTTTCATTCACACTCAGTAATGCTTGCATCTTAGTGGCTTTATTGCCTTGCTTGGGGTGAAATTAATTTTTAAAAAAAGTAGAATACACAATTGGGAACATTCTTCTATGAATTTAAGATCTATTATTATTATTATTATATAAACTAGTACAGCACTTGTCAAAAAGTATAGTACTATATATGGATCAGCACTTCAGAGTAGGATCAAAGGGTAATATCTACACATTAGGACAAGTGTTATGCACATGCACAGAAATATGTGAGTACACATAATATTTTATCAATCCAGATGTTACAGAAAATAAAAAAAAAAATCGTTGAAACTGTCTTTTCATGAAGTTAAGGATATTTCAAATGTGGGTGAAACTGTCTTAACATGTTTTTGGCATCCTGAAAAACAAATGACTAATTAAAGACTATATTTTGACAGATAAAGAGACCATAAATATTTGAAAGGCAGAAAGCTTGATGGAGAGAGAAACAGAACTACATAAAGAGTGAGCTTCAGTCATGCAGGAAAGTGATGCTGTAGTGGTCTCTAGCATACATGCAAATAGACTGGCCAACTTTTCTTTCTCTACAAATATGTTTTGTTTTTTGCCCTGTTATTCATATTCCGAAATTCAGTTGGCAAAAGAAAAAAAAAAAAAATCAGAAGTTGTGATTTTTATTCTCAGAGGTAAATAAAAATTACAAGCATGGTGTGTAATATTTTTGTCTGCAATCTCCCCACTCTCTCATTTGTATCTATAGCTGCAGAAGTTAATCATTGGAGGTTTTTTGTAAACATGATGCATTTCTCACAAGACACGTCTGGTCATTCCTCACCAGAAGCTCCAAGTATCTTTAGGCCTTACAAACAAGATGTATCATCAAAAATACATTACTTGATCAATACTAGAGTAACATAATCCAATTTGGTGTCAGTATAATACAAAGTACATAAAATCTATACATACAAGTCATATTTTCTTAAAATTCAAATTGAAATATTTTTTATCAATCAAGTCAATCAATGAGATGGAAAATTATTTTCAAAGAAGGATAGTCCTTGATAAGACCTACAGCTTTCATTTGCTCAAAATCACCTTTAATGATTAATATCTATGAAAGTGGTTGTAGACAGCTGACAGTTTAAATATTCCTGAACAACTTTCATGTTATGCAGGACATCCACATAAGAGTCTTGATCTGACAATGTTATTTCAGAACATGACAATTTTTTATGTCAACATTTTGGTTTTGTAGCAATTTATGTTGTTGGCTGACACCATACCTAGTATAGCTTATTCTGTGTTCTATTTAGTTATCTCCTATAATAATAATAATTATTAGTATTCACTAATTCTTTACTAATAGAAAGAATATTTAAATTTGAAGTTATTTTCCCTAGGCAACACTGAGTATCCCAGCTAGTCAAAAATAAATGAAGATATTTTAAAGAGAAGATATAGTGATTACTCTAATTTCAGCTTACTGTACTATTTTAGAAGTGTTCAGAAGTTTTAAGACTAATTTGCACAAAATGTTTAGCATATGTTTAAAAATAACATAGAACAAGATAACATCACAAAGTCTTTTGGAGTTTAATTCCAATAAAATTAACCCATTGAAGAAATATTGAACAAAGGATTACTATAAGTAATAGTAAAACTAGTTTACTTGTCTCATCAAGAAATAACCACTACATTTAATTTTGCAGTTGTACTGTACTTATAGAATATTAAAAATTTTGCTGCTCTGCATTTCTTGTTATTTTCTGAAGATTAAACAAAATATTATAATTTGTTATCAACATTATTGGCTAAAAACGATTAATATTAATGATATTAAAATTATTAATTAATATTATTAAAAGAAACATTAAACTAAACAAAGGAATACTATAAGTAATAGTAAAACTAGTTTTTCTAATAAAAAACAAACTATATGCAAATAATTTTGCAATTGTACTGTACTTATAAAAAAATTTGCTGTTCTGCATTTTCTTGTTAATGTTCAATATTTTCTGAATAATAAACAAAACAAATAATGTTCTGGCTACCATTGAATAATTATGGGATATTCAGAACATAAAATTCTATTTCTATGATGTTACCAGAAAAGTTCACTATAATGAGGCTGCCAACTGTCACCAGATGATTCCTCTAAATTCTGATGTAAATTGTTTGCATATAAAATGTTACATTTCTCTTATTCAATCACAGAGAAAGCACAGCAAGAATCCAAATAGCCAAAGGAATCACACAAGGATCCAAGTTTGAGGCAGTCATGAAGATGCTACCTCCTATGGATGTCTCAAGCTTAAAGTCTTTCTTGAGCTCAGTTCAGTTCTACAGGAAATTCATCCCAAACCGGTCACTTTACTGTTTAACCAAGATAGCAACTCTCTGGAAGTGGGGAGATGAAGAACAAGCAGTGTTTGAACAGTTGAAAAACATACCATCCTCAGATCAAGTCCCTGTACATTTTAACCCAAACAAGCCTGGCTTGTGACACATCTGACATTGGAATTGGAGCAGTCCTGTTTCATCACTATCCAGGGAAAAGCAAGCACACAATTCTAATGTGTCCAACAACATCTGCAGAAAGAAACTACAGCCAAATCCACAAGGAATCCCTAGCCCTTGTCTTTGGCTTGCAGAAATTCTATCAGTATCTGTATAGATGTCTGTTCATACTGGTTACTGACCATAAACCATCGATGGTACTGTTTGGCCTGAAAAGAAGGACAACACTACTCACAGACAACCAACTAGCTTGATGGGCCCTGTGGCTAAAGCAGTTGACTACACAATAGAGTACCAGAAAACAGTGGATCATGGCAATGCAGATGTCCTTAGTACTTTGCCGTCTGGAGACAATAACAACTTTGACAGGGAGGAAAGTGGAGAAGACATGAACAGGGAGTGCACCATCAAAGTTCTCAGTTTTCAAGCCAAACCTGTAGATGCCAACATCTTCTGGCAAGAGTCTGGGAAAGATCCAGTGATAACTACAGTGATACACTATGTGCATAAAGGGTGTCCACCAAAGCACACTGAGATCAGTGACGAAATTGGAAAGTTCTGGAAATTGTCAGATTCACTCAGATCTACCATGGAGTTGTGATTACTTTGGCTGATAAGATATGGCCAAGATATTCTACACTGGGTAGTGCGAACAGGCAACAGCATCCGAGTCCTTTCTCATTCAAATGAGAAAAATGCCTCAGATTGCTCAAGTGATCATTGGCATCTTGCCCGCTAACAAGCATATTGTCTTGGAAGATGGCAACTCCAGGCAGATCATTTGGTTAGGTTTTCCATGATCTCCTGCAGCTATTGATTCAATGTAATCATTCCACTTCAAGTCATTTGAAAATGTGAGGCCAAGAAAGTGCAGTGTGTTGCTCTCCAGGAGTCAGTCTAGCATCAACCATGCTGATGGTGGGCAGGAAAGTTTCTCTGTGGTGGTTAAAATTTACAAGCCATTTTCTGCCCCTAGTTTACAGGAGTAAATGGTAGTGTCATCTGCACAAATGCCTACTTAGGAACTGATGTAATCAGAAAGATCATTGATGAAGTTCAGAAAGTGTAGGACCCATGATAGAGCCTTGGGAGACACCCACATTCATGTGAAAGGATCTGGAAGTGAGCCCATTCAAAATGATCTTCATTTCATGATTTGATAGGAATGATTGGATTAAATCAAACAATCCTACTGTAATAGCATAGCTCTAAAGCTTATATAGAAGACCAGCCTGTTAAATCCTGTCAAACGCTTTTGAGATATCTAGAGCCACAGCTTGAGCTTCACCGTTATTATCAAGATCTTGATATACATATTCAGTGATGGCTGTTAGAACATCAGCAGTAGACCTGGTAAAATGGAAGCCATATTGTTGGTCATGAGAGGTAAGATGCTTAACCACATCAGCATTGATTAAAGCCCTGAATACTTTGCTGAAAATCATTAGTGGACTAATAGGGTGATAGAGGGGTCAGATGGTTCTCCAGAGTTCTTAAAAACAGGAACTACATAGGAGGACTTCCAACAAATTGGAAAGCAGGAAGCAGCATGGCAATAGTTGTAGAGTTTGGAAAGAACTGGGGCTAGCTTGGGAGCACATTTCTTTAGGACGACAGCTGGGATCCTGTCACCCCTGCTTGCCTTATGAGAGTGTAATTCAGAAATGATTTTTGAGACCAGTACTTACATATATTTTTAAAGTTAGTTAAATGTTTGATTGATTCATTTTCTACAGCTTTTCAAGCCTTTGCAGGTAATTTAAAGCTAGGAAATATTTTTAGATTGTAAGATTTTTTTTCTCTCTTTTTGAGATTAATGTTTTTTGTGATATAAGTGTCACTAATTAACAAGAATAGGTAGATTCATACCTTTCTTAAGGGTATTTGTGCATAAGTGAATATAACAAACCCTACAGAAATTGGAACTTGGCTCTCTTATTTCCAATTCTGAGCCATTATCCATTACACCACTTGCACATCCAAGCTTACAGAACCTGGTATTCCCAAGCAATCACCCATCTAGGTACTAACCAAGTTCAATGTTGCTTAACAATAGTGATCATACAGGAACTGGTGTTTCAATGCGATATGGTTGTAAGCCTAGTTAAATGTTTAGATACCTACATTTAAAAAAAAAAAAAAAAAAAAAAAAAAAATTTATTATAATTTATAAAAGCTTTTTTTTTTTTTTTTAAACAACTTTTATTATTTAGATTTTTATTGATACTTTCCTATATTTGACACCCTATTTCTTTTTTATTTCTGCTAAATGATTAATATAACTATTTATTTATTCAGAATGAATATCTTCTCATATTCATTTATTTGTATTTTGAAAAAAAGAAAAGAAAAGGTTTTTGTTTAATAATCTAACTTAATATTTTATTGAAATTGATTGATTGATGTAATCATAAGTTCTATGCTAATAGTTTCTAACCTTTCATTTGTCACTTGTGGAATTCACTTCTGATATATTGTTTTCCAAAATTGATCATCAAAAATTTAAATACAATGTCAACCATCATTTTCTGTCTCCTTGAAACCTGTTCTTTTATTGTCATCTCTGCTTAATAATGATTTTTCTCAGACTTTTTCAATTTCAGTAATCCTTTGTGGCTTTATTGCCTTGGTAAAATGATTTATACAAAAAACAAAATTCTTTCATAAAAGCAAAAGGCTTTTGATGATAAATGTCCTTTTATTATTAGTGCATGTATATATATATATATATATATATATATATATATATATATATATATATATATATAATATATATATATATATATATATATATATATAAAAATTAAACCTAAAGAGCCAGATAAATCTACCATGGTTACACCTACATGGATCATCAGGGAATACTGGAAGCCAGTATTCCCTGACAATCTGCGTAGGTGAAACCTTAGTAGATTTATCTGGTTCTTTAGGTTTAATTAGGTTAGGTTAGGTCTTCTTAGTGTATTGAGCACTTTACTTAGTTATTACTTACTCATATTGTTTTTTTTTTCCTTTGGACTCTGAACTTGGATGCTAGACAATTGTCTTCGGCTGACGTACATGTTCTCTGTTCTTTCTTTTTTTGTACCTTTTTTTTTTTCCTTGTATATTGGTCTGTTTATTTACATATCAAAGTACCCAGGGTTTTCTGGAGGTGTATAATTTCTTATGTTTATAAGATTATTACTATTGTGTATATATCTCCACATATGGATGTGCATTGAATTTTATATATCTCTTTATATTAAATTGCTGGCATGTGAATCTGTCTAATGCAAATTGCATGCATGCGAATCTGTCCAACAGAATTGAACGGTAAGTTGTAGAACCTTAGAATGTTCTAATCACACTGCTATTTAAGCAATGCAGGTGGAGTGATTTGGCTGTCTTTTTGCCCTTCTCCTTGCTTGTTATACACTGTTGGAGAGACAGTTAATTAACCTATTTGGATTATTGCTGTGATTTCTCTGTGAGTGAATGAGAGAAACATGACAAATTGGCATCACCGATAGTATAAGAAAGACTATCCTTGCTGAGTGGACTGTTTACTTTGACAACAATGGCAGAACAAAGTGGTGAACTGATTAAGTATATTCACACAACTTCAACTCCAGAGGAAACAAATGGAGGTGCACACACAGCAGCACAGAGAAGAAATGGAAGCTTTGGTAAGGCTGATTCAATTTCAAACTTCTAAAAAAGATTCCAATCCAAGTTCCCATCTTCCAACATTTTCAGCTGCTATCCCACCATTTCCCTTAATTCGAAATCAGAACTGTGGCCTGATTACTGGTCAAGATTCTGTACTTTTGTTGTGGCCAACACCATGCCTGATCAGTGCAAGGCTCAGGCATTTTTAACAAATCAAATGGCTACCATTTATAAACATCTAGCGAATTTGTCTACTCAACAGAATCCACCCATGGATATTAACAAGTTGACAATGGAGGAAATCTTTATGAAAGAACAATTTGACCTGAAATGTTTCATTGTGTGAGAATGTTTCAAGTTCTGGAATGACATGCAATGGAAGCCAGGCAGAACTCTCAAGCAGCTGGCAGCACATAATGTGATGACACTGCTACTTGTGATTTTTCTTCAAGCATCCACCCACATGATGAAGCTCTTAGACAGAGATTCATATGTTCTGTCTTGAAGACTCTTTTCAAGGACATGGAGCTGGACTTTGCCCATGTGGTCCAGTCCAGGTCACCATTGAGAGTGAAGACACGGTGAAGGTTGGTAAGGAAACTGTTTATGGGTCCAAGACCAGGCCTGTCGCCAAAAACCTACCAGCACCCTAATTCTACAGACTGAAAGTGTTACAGATGTGGAAAAACTCATAAAGTGACAGACTACCCCTAAAAATTAGTTAAATACCACTTTTGTGACAAGGACATTTGGAAGCTGTTTGTAAGAAGAAGCAATGACAGCAATGGGAACATCGTTCCCAACCTTCCATGAGGAAAAACATGAAAGAGGAACCTGTCAAAACAATCCTTGGTGATGATATTTCTAGGTTGGTTGTGCCAATCACAATCCAGGACCAACAATTCACAATGCAGATAGACACAGCAACTACAGGAAATTTCATTTCTTTGCCAGTTTAGAAACAACTAGGAAAGGTGAAACTGGATGATATCAGACATCGTTATGAGTCTGCCAGCAAGCACAAGTTGCTTCTGCTGGGAATTTTTATGGGCCAAACCAAGGATCCAAGGACTGGTAAACAAAGCTCAATTCCCTACATTGTCACAAAGATCCCTGACCTGAACTTGCTAGGATGAAATTCTATCCAAACACTGGGAATCTCTGTGGACAATGTTCTTGACATGCATAGAAGGTCAAAACATGAGTGAGGGTGCAAAAACATTGCATCCCAAAACCTCTAACAAGCCTTATGTTTCCCTACAATGACATTGCCACAATCTCTGTGACAAGTTCCTAGATCTTTTCAAAAGAAGAATTGGGATGTCTTGAGGATTTTGAACTAGAAGTGAAGTTCAAGTCTGATATGAAGCTGTTTTTTCACAAGGCACAACCAATTCCTTTCACTCTTCTGGATAATTTGGTCAAAGGTTACAAAGAAAGCATCTCCACAGGAGTCTGGAAGCAAGTCCAATTCAGCAAATATGGAATGCCTGTAGTACCAATTTGCAAAGCCCATAGTCCAGACACTCTGAATCCAAAGTTGCAGATCAGTGGTGACTACTCAGTAGGCATTAACAATCAACTAGAGGAACACCATCATCTGAAGCCCCTCCCAGAGCAACTGATACAGAAGCTAGGAGGTGGATATGGTTAAACAAAGATTGATCTTGCTGATGCCTACAACCAAATCAAGCTGGTACCAGAGAGTCAACACAGGCTAACCCTTGGTACTCACCATGAATTACTGCAAGGAAAGTTAGGTCACTGTGTCATGTCAGGTTTTTCTCATCAGAGTCCATGTTGCACATTTAGAAATCTACCATTCGTCCATGCATTGAATACTGTTGCCATAACTGGTCTGGTGCTCCTGTTATTCATCTTGAGGTTCTTGACAAAATTCAAAGGATCTACAATGTAATTGATCCTGAATTGGCATCTAAACTTCCATCACTTTCTCACAGGCATGATATGGCTTCCCCGTCTTTTCTAAAAATATTTTCACGGCAACTGCTCTGACAAGCTTTTCTTTCCTAGTACCCTGACTATATGAATTTAAGCATGCTACTAGATTGGCATCTAGGTCCTACTAATTTAGTGTTGAAATAGTTAAATGTAACTGACACTTCTTCTCCAACAGTTTCTTTTTTCACACTTTTGGCCTGTGGAACTCCCTTCTGTTACTTGCTTCCCTGAAAGCTACAGTCTTCAAAAATTTAAATGCAATGTCAATCGCCATCTTTTGTCTTCTTGAATCCAATTCATCTTTTATCTTTTCCTCAATCCCCCCTATACACAGTCTTTTCTCTCATTTTCACTCTCTGTAACCCCTGGCATATTAGTGCCATTCTTGCCTTGCTTGGGGTGAAATGATTAAAAAAAAGAAAAAAAAAAAAAAAGAAAAAAGTAAACTTTTATAGATATCTCTAGATTACTGGCTGTAGTATAAGACTTAATCAGAGGGTTTTGAATATTAGAATCTCTAACCAAAAGTAACATAATGAATGATATTGAATGCTTTAAAAATAGTTCATCTTATTTCTGCATTTCAAGATTATCTACATGATAATATGAAAGAGTTTAAACAAACTGCAGAGAAAACCTTAATGGTTGATTGAAATCATTAAATGTCTCTTTTCCATAACACTTTGTATTTGCACTTTCAATAAGATAATCAGTTAATTTGGATATTAAGAGTAGCAGAATGATCAGGGAGCAAGCATTTCATTCTACCATCTTCTGTAATAATAAAATATTGTACATCCTGGCTCTTATCTTTGCCTTTTCACAAGGATCTTAAATATCAATATTTACCAACTTATTTTTTTTTTCAGCAGCAATTATATTAGGTTTGGCATAAAATGATAAGTCATAGAAAAGTATAGGGATAAAGGTATCTTAATTCAGGTCACAGTTGATAGTACTCGGTGTCAAAAATTTACAGAAACTCAGTACACATTATAACATTATTAAATCAGAAATACAGTGAATATGTCTCCATCTATGGTTCAGAATAATTTTATCTGTCTTGTCTAAACATGAACAACAAATTTCTTTTTAACCTAATGGATTAAAGTATTGGTTTGTGAATTTGGTGGCATAATAATTGAGAGTTCAATCTGTAGGTCAGGTTGTACAGATTCAATAGATTTTTTGTATGGATTATCCACCCTTTTTGGATCATTTAAGACCAAAAGCCAATGTTCCCATGTGATCCCTCATTTAAATACTTGTATGTTTTGATGCTTTTTTTTTTCTTTTTCTTTTTTTTTAAGCGTTTAACCCCAAGCAAGGTGGGAAGCCACTAGCACACAAGGGGTTACAGAGAATTGGAGCAAGAGCGAATAGGAGTGATACAGGAAAGAATGAAGAGAAGGATAGGGGATAGATCACGGCATCTGGAGATGTCGATTGACATTACATTTGAATAGTTGGAGATTATAGCTATC